AGGTCTCTTTTCGCGAAGCTGGGACAGCAGGAGGAAGGGTGAGATTTTAGCTCTGAGCTCTGACTTCTCGGCTCTCTCTTTTACATTGTTTCTGTGTTTCTTATTTAATAAGACGGTTGGTTACATCTACATGTACCACCACACCATGTTCATTGATTTTTTTCTAACCTTAGAAGTAATATAGGTTTTTATAACATATTTTAGAACCATGCTTTTAAAGCAGAATTCTTACATTTTTTTATGTACCAGATAATGATCAAAGATTGTTGGTAGATGATAGGTTATGTTCTCACTATAAAGATGAAGATGCAAAAATGTAAAAAGTGTAATATTTTCTAGGACAAACTCTCCTTTTCCAGGTAAATGAAATTTGATTGATTTCCTCTCATGATTATTATCGATGAGATGAACTAACATGCAGTACTTAATAACATTACCTTGGAGCTTAGACCCTTTTACTTATAATTTAGTTTGTTACTATATTATGAATTTAAGAGAAAATTAACCATTGCTTAATCACAGCATAACAGAAACCAAATAGAAAAAAGTCTTCATTGGATACTATATACAAGAAGTTCCTTTTTTATATTTGTAGTTTTATTTTTAAAAATTGATAATTCCATATATGCATATAATGCATTTCAGCCATTCTCCCTCCATCCCACCTTTTTGTTTAATCTTCCAGCCCCTTCAAATGCCCCTCTTTACAAGTCCCTGTCACACACTCATGTCTTTGCATTTTGTCTTGTGACCCAAAGAGTTTAACCACAGCTGTCTGTGTAACCTTGAGTTTTAGAATATCCACTGGAGACTAGCTAGATGACCTGTGCATATACATGTGAAATCAGTGACTACCTCTACCCATAATCTACCAGTAGCAATAGTTCAGCAGAATGGAGTACGGTCCTGTTGAGTCCCTCTCTGACCCTTGCTGTGCTGATTAAGGACCCAGTCTTGTGCAGGTAGTTGTAGATGTTGTGAGACAGACCAGAGTGACAATGGCTGTGTCCTGCCCACAATATAGCATTTCTAGCCCTTCTTCTCATCTTCTGGCTCCTGTACTCTTTCCATCCCTCTTCCACACTGGCCTAAGCTTTAGAGGGGGTGCGTAGGTGTGCTATTTAGGATAAAAAACTCAAGTGTCATTTACTCTGGTACCTGGAGAAGCCATGAGTCTCTGCATTCACCACAATTCATTACAGTGGGGATCTTTTCTGGGTAATACTGACTGTAGCATTTGTCCATGAATAGAAGTGTAAATATTTAGGAGACAGTTTGCAATCACATCTCTTTGAACAACTGTAGAAAATTTCCACCATAGAACCTAAGACCCCAGCTGCTGGTTTTTTGGCTGGATTTACAGGGGAAAAAGTTTTTCTGCTGTAGAAACCAGTTTTCAGCACCAGTTTCAGCAGTTTTCAGTTTTCATTGAAGGGGAGCCATAGAATCAGTGGAATAATCACTCCATTGACTTTTCTATCTGAGGGAGTAAAAAATTCTCTTAGGCCAAGGAAAAGGTGAATCTCTCTCTCTCTCTCTCTCTCTCTCTCTCTCACACACACACACACACACACACACACACACACACACACACACACACCTCCAACATGTCAGGTTCTCACCTAGGGTGTTGATGGGTGGCAGCCTTCAACAGGTCAGAGAAACTGAAGAGGAGATGCAGAGCAGGTGAACTACTGGACAGACAAACAGACACACTAGGATCTTTCTGAGGGTCAAAGCTTAGTTCTTCATTTTATTATTGTTTCCATTGCTTGTTCTACTCTATCCTTTTTCTGTTCTGTTCTTCAAACTGATGTTTCCCTTTCTCTTTTTTCATGACTTCATTCTCACTACTTCCTGATAACTTCTTTCTAACTAAATTTATTTTTTTCCCTTACAGCTTACATACCCCAGCAGAATCTTTCAAGCAATATAAAAATAGTGATATGGTTACATTCTATTTTTAACTGAATGATTACAATTAATAGAAGTGAAAAACAACATGTTTCCCATTTCCCTTACATGATTAAACATTTTACATGTTATAGGTGAAAAACAAATTATCCCCAAGAATCCACATACAGTTAAACATTTATCTTTTAGAACTCTCACATATCAGGAGCCTTTCAGCCATAACTGCTAACACAGACAGTAGTTTTTATAATTGCCAGAAAAACAGATAACTAGTTTCACTTTTCATATTTTAAAGTCCTGTTCAATTATCTTCACTAACAATCCAGTTCTGTGTTTCCTAGTCACATGAAGTATGATTTAAAACTTTGTTTTATCTGTGACGCACACTGAAACCTGTGAGCACATTTCCCAATATAAAAAAGAACTTAACTCTTGGAACTCAATTGTTTTCCTTAATCATTAACCTAAACCACAGTCTATAGTGCTCCTCAAGAGAAACTCATCAGTCCTAGCTGTGTGAAACTTCCTTGTTCTTATCTTCTATCCTCTGCAGCCCCTGCTTTATCAGGGGTGAGGGCAACACTGTATGCTATCTTTACCTACATTAATTTTCCCACTAGGCTATTATCTTTCATCATTGTTAAAAATCCTTAATCACCAAAATCCTATTTAAATTAACACTGTTATTGTACAAAATCATCACTTCAATTAAACAGTACAGGTTAAGAGGAAATCATGTTTATAAAAATCCACAGGTAAAAATGCCCAGTAGACCATGATATTTCTAAGAGATAATTACACTACATTAAAGGCAGTGGTGATGCCTTCACACCCATTTACACCAAGCCAGTTACAAGAGAAAAGTGGCAGCAGCGAACATGTAAAGGCACAGCAGTAGCAAGAGACATTCTGAGGCCAAAGCACTCAGGGCCTTGCCTATCAGAGATTCACCCATCAGTGCCTTGCATTCTGGTGGCCCAAACTCCTGAAATCTAATGCCACCTGTTGCTCTTCTGACATGACCACCCACAGGTAGAGTTTTAATTTTTTTCTAATGTTATTTTAGTGCAAAGAAAGTGGAAGAGAGATTTAAAAATGTTCTTTTCCTTAGGAGGTAATAACTTTATGTAGGTAATTGATAATAGGATAATCATTATAAAAGATAAGGCCACGTGATTCTTCCAGAAGCCCCATGATGAGAGATCAATGCCCTGGATCATCAAGAATTCTTCACCAGTACATCTGTAATTCAACACACACAAAATAATGTCTAAGTTTATTCAGTACATTCACTGTTACTACTTTAAAAAACTCATATTTTCAGGAAAGCACATCATTAAAATTTTCATCTTTATATTTAAACAGTAGTAGTAGTCATGGTGTACTTACACTTTTGTTATATATCATGTCAAAATAAACTACTTGAATCAGGTACCTTAGTTAATTTCAAAAACCACCCAAAGAGGTGTAGCTACCACATCTAAAAACATAGAGGAAGTAGACTCAGTAAACTAGTCCGAGTTTAGAGAGTCACACTAAGATCCAACATTGTAGTCTTCACTGTATCATTCATTTCTAAATCACAATGATGCCGTCTTCTTAAAGGGCAGAGGCATGGATAAACTAATTGTTTCTCCTCAAGTGGAAAACCTCAGCTTCCTAATGACACACAGACACTCTTAAGAAATCAAAGCTTTGTGCAGTTCTGCTGACTCAGTAAACAGTTAAAGAAGGAAACACATCATCAAATTCTAGACAGAGGACCAGAGAACCTTAAGGATTTCTCCCAAATGTCAGTCAGTTCCTGTCAGCTCTTCTACTGAGGGAGCATGACAACCAGGAATGCTCAGCTATGGAACATCCCCAGCAGCCCAAGACTACAAACATAGCCTGGGTAGCAGTTAGAGCACAGCAGGATCCAGAGGCCCAGACACAGGTTAGAAAAGCAGCTGCTGCTAAAAGTTCTGGATACACTACACTCACCACCTGTGTGTAGCCATATCTATGTATCTCCATCCCTGTGTGTGTCCATCCCTGTGTGTGTCCATCCCTCTGTGTCTCTTTCCCTCTGTGTCTCCACCCCTGTATATCTCCATCTCTCTATGTCTCCATCCCTGTGTATCTCTTAGGATCTAACAGTTCACAAATCTGCTGTAATGGCAGCTTTCTTCTTCCTCTTGTGAGGACAATCCTTTTGTGAATATGAGGTCTGTGGATGACCCACCTCTGGTTTCACTTTACCCATCCAAGTCCTCCTGACCATAAACTGGTTAAGAAATTTGTATTAGAAGGATGACAGGCCACACCAGGAGAGAGGAGATGTGGGAAATAAGGTATTTACCCATACTTGTTTTGCAATCAGTAATTGAAACATAAATTGGTGTTAATGTTACTCATTATTTTGAACATCCATGGGAGATTTAACATAGCATATTCTTCTCTCATTTATATTTAAAAATCAAATCAATGAGAACAATCATAGAAAGCAAAGGTAGTTTCATGGCATTAGATAAAAATGATATTTACTTCTCAAAATAATGAAATATGGGTTTCTTTCATTCCAGGACACATCTCCTGGTAGGACATTTTATGTACACACACACACACACACACACACACACACACACACACACACACCCCAGCACACCAGCCTTTGATTTATTAAAGTGTTCCAGAGTATAAGACAGAGGGAAGACCCTGAATGCTGGCGGACTAAGCGCACTCACTTCAGCCCTTGCTGCCGTGACATTCTAAGGTTCTGCTCTCACATACCATAAATGATACATGTGGAAACTGTAATTCCTTGCTAAACTATCAGAGCAGCCTAGGTCAAACTTAACTGTTCTGAAACAAGGAGCACAAATCCACAATCACAATACCAAAAACATTTTTAAAAGACCCCAAAAAACCCTTTCTGCACTTTATCTGCACCATGGGGCAGTAGGATCAAAACACATCCATGTGTGCATTGGTTACAGTGATTCACTCTGGGGAAGCGGCAGAGGACAGTGTTAATCCCAAAAGGATGGTTTCCCCTCTAAGTCTAGGAGCATTCTGTGTCCCCATTGTGACACAGAAATCAAACTTACATTACATAGGTCTGACATCCATTGATTTCTGATGTGTTATGTTCTAGACAGAAGTTTTGTACGAGGAATTCATTGTGCTGCAAAGCCTGTAACACAAGCAGGAACAGGGAAAGCAAATAGTTTAATGTTTTCATAAGTTTCCAAAGAATAAACACAACTATAACTTTAAGTTCAATATTGGCTGTAATTTTCAAAAAAAAAAAAAGGTTCACTCTACTCAGCAAAGCAGTGCTCCTCTTTCCCACACTCAGGAGGTTTAGGACTGAAATGATGGTGCTTCTCATTGACTATGAGGTAGATTCTCTAACTAGAATACTTTATGCACCTCCTTCTCTGCCAAGTCCATAACATGTAACCACTGGGATTAAAATAATAATACTGATTTATAATAACAATATATTCTTGCTTGTTTTCATCAAAACCACTTTTGATTATGGGAGTAAGAAAGTCTATTAAAACACACTTTACTGCAGAGAAAGCTTGGCAAAGCCAATATGGCTATGGCTATCACATGGTTTCTGTTTCTTTTAATTTCCTGAAATAAACTACATATCTTAGTCCCTGATCCTTTCATTATTTCCTTATTGGGTAGAATCACAACTGTTTGCTTTTCATCATATCATCTGTCTTTCCTCTTTACCCTGAGATTTTTCTCACCCTTTATTTCCTTCAAATAACAGGAGACTGGAGAAAACCCCAGATGACTCACTGAACTTTGGCTAGAATTAACAGGAAAGTTCTCATCTTTTGCTCCTGGAAGAAAAATCCTGGGCAGCTGCTGGTTAGAGATTACAGCTGGGAATCATTTCAGTTACTACAGCTAGAGACCCCAAGTACAGTGACAGACAGGACAACTTACTGTAAATCCATAATGAGGAATGTTGAAGTACTGAATCCAGGAGATGTTCTTCATCAAGTTTGTATAAAATAGTGACATACCTGAGATGAACTACAATGAACAACAACAACAACAAAAAAAAAAAACAAATTAGAATGAGTCCAGTGACTAAGAATTCTAGACAAGATCCTTCCTCTTCAAGACCCCTACATCAGTGTGACTTTTCTACTCAGACCAGCTCTTTAAACATTATTTCAGTTAACTCTAAACAGAATTCTTCACTCTTTGCAAAGTCAGGCCTCTTTGTGGTTTTTAAAAGAAGGACCTGCCACTCCACTCTGCAGGAGCCAAACCCTCAGATGCTTACCTTGTTTATCTTTAAAGGGGCATGTAATCTATGCACACACTTTAACTTTAAATTCATCCATCCTGCATATTTAAAATCCTGTTTAGCTTCCTTATAATATCTACTTTATGTAGATATTATGAATGATGAACAAGGAAGAACAAGGGGCAGCTCTGAAGTTCACATAAACCTTGCCCTACCTAGTCTAATGTACACTAGAATATGTAAAACAATGACTGTGTGCATGCATTCAGACTGCACCTGACCAAATGCTTCTACAGAAAATACAACATTGGCTTCATAACTAGTTTTCAGGTCCCATTTAGAAACTTTATACAATTACCAGTTGTCTTAGTTCCTTTCCTGTGGCTGTGATAAAACACCATGACAAACAGAAAAGTCAGGAGCTTTCTAAGTACAAATTATAAACAAAATGGGAAAGAAATGAGGGAAATAGTCTCATTCACAAAAACCTCAAAATGGGGAGAGAAGAAGGGATGATCTTGGAATAAATTTATCCAAATAAAATACTTGTACATACTTCAAGACACTGAAAAGAAAGATGCTGAATGATGGAAAGACCTCCCATGCTTATAGATTGGTAGGATAAATATGAAAAAGGCCATCCTACTAAAAGCAATCAACAGATTCAATGCAATCCCCATAAAAATTACAATATAGCTTAGCAGTGGTGGTGCACACCTTTAATCCCAGCACTGGGGAGGCAGAGGCTGGTGGATCTCTGTGAGTTAAAAACCAGCCTGGGCTACAGAGTGAGTTCTAGCAAAGTCTCCAAAGCTACAAAGAGAAACCCTGTCTCAAAAAACAAACAAACAAAAATTGTAATATAATTCACATATATTGAAAAAAATACTAAATTTCACATGGAAACACAAAACCCAGAGTAGCAGAACAATCCTGAAATACAAAACTGCTAGAGGTATCATCAACCATTGAGGGTATCACTACCCATTGGTGAGAGAATCAATCCCTCTCCTGATTGAGAAAAATTCTTCTTCTCTGTTGATAAGAGGGTTTCAGTAGTCTGTCTGCACATCTGGGAACATGAGCAACAGACTCTGGCAAACTTTACCTCGCCTTGTGTCCTTCTCTCATAAAGAGGGTAACATGCCATTTGCCTTGGTAGGGCCAGGGTCCCATTAAAAGGAAAAGGACACTTGAGCCTGTGAATGTCCTGCCACACAAGAGTAGCAATCAATCCTTGGGCATATGTGCTGTACAGTTAACACAGTTTACCCAAGTATTCAATTCTCTACATCAGCTTTATAAGCACTTAAATTAAAACTGAAAACAAAGTGAACTCACTGTGCACCCAAGAAAGCTTTCTGTGCATTTTTTTTAAGTAAGGGTAAGACTAGACACTCATCAAATAGAACTTTTAACAGAAAAGCTATTTTAGTTACATTAACAAGTTTTTATTATCATTAAAAAATAATAATCTAGACTTTTAAATCTTAATTTTAAATTTTTTCCTTGTGTTGAGTTTGTGCATTTCCCCTGGGCAATGATGTTAGCAGCCTTTCTCTTGGGTGTAAAGTGTCCCATCTCTTCAACCTTCTGGACTGTGCTCTCAGTTAAGGTCACAGGAGGGGGGCTCCCAGCTCTCTTTCAATTTGTTTTCTGTTTTGTTCTGTGTTTCAACATTTTAGCAGTATTTGGTCCCCACGCAAGAAACTATGGGCTGTACATTTTAGCAGAGGAGTCTGGGCAAAAAACTCGATAACCTAAGAGAAAGCAAGGTGGAGAAGAGATCCTTGACACAATTGATGAGAAACTGATTTTATTTTCCCTGGTGGGAAGGGCTGTGGACTCCCTAAGATAGGAGACATGTAACATTCATGTGGAGAGAGGCCTCCAGCCCTTCTGAGAACAACTTTAATCTTAAACAAATCTCTTTAGTTCTGCATTATTCTAAGATAGTCTTCATCATACTAGCAGCAGCATGGGAAAGGAAGGAGGCCTCTATCCATCTGAGGAGGTGGTGCATTCCTACAAGTGTATATTAAAGTTTTCTTTTAGTTTGTTTACTTGATTCTTTTGTATTTGTGAAATTTCATCTAGATTCCTTCAAGAGGCTTCAGTTCAGATCTCCCATGTGTGTTTTTAATTGTTTACAACTCCCTTTTTTTTCTTTTGGTAAGTTACATATCCTTAACACACACACACACACACACACACACACACACACACACACACACACCTGTTTGGCACACCAGTTAAGTTTGGTTTCTATTGCTGGGATGAAGATGCCATGACCAAAAGTATCAGGAAAAAATGTTTATTTGTCTCTCGCATGGTGACCAAAGTCTATTATTAAGGAAAATCAAGATGGAAATTCAAGGGGGGAGCCTGGGGCAGGAGCTGTAGCAGAGACCATGGAGGAATGCTGCTTACTGGCTTACTCCCCATGGCTTTTTCAGCCTGGATGGTCTTCCCAGGGTAGTGCTGCCTGCAGTGGGCTGGGGCCTCCCACATCAATCATTGATCAAGAACCCATTTCCCCAGTCTTGCCTACAAGTGAATCTGAAGGCATCATGTTCTCAACAGAAGTCCCATCCCCTTTTTGAGACAGTGTTTGCTCTGCAGGCCTTGCTGTCCTGGAACTCACTCTGTAGACCAGGTTGGCTTTGAAATCAGAGATCTACCTGCCTCTGCCTCCTGAGGATTAAAAGGCATTCTATACTATGCCCAGCCTTAACATTACATTCTTGTGACCTTTTTAAAAAAATCTCACTTTTTAAAACTTCCATGGAGCATGCTTGTTTGACTATTGAGAGTAGGCATTAACAAATCAACTCTTTATCATCAGGGTAAGGATGAATAATAAAGAGAAATCTTTTAAATCAATAATAATAAATAACAATAACATGCTGGTTTAGAGTTGTTGCTCTTAAAATCCATTGGTGTGTTTAATTATCTCAGGAAGAAGCCTGTCAGCTCCAGGAAAAGGGTGGCATTAGTTTTTCACATTTGAACATGTTAGAGGCCACAAGGATTTTGCTAGAATTTGAGCTTTTTGTTTTATTGGTGTTGACATTTTGGCATGTTTTTATCATATCAGGAGCTGTATCCATGCAATGAAGGTTTATTGATTAATCATTTATTTTAATAATTGGGAGTTTGCATTTTCTTATGATAATAAAAGAAATAGGCAATAGCAACTTCTTTATTGTCTGTCTATAGCTTGTTGTAGACAGTTAACAATTATTATAAAGGGCTCTGTAGGCTTCTCTCTGACAGTGGAAGTTCTGAATGTGTATTATAATCAAGGACTTCATTTTAAGTCCTGGCTATCAGTGGCCTCCACAGGCTAGCTGGTAATCAAGCCAAGGATTGACTTTATTTAGTAACCATTTAAAGATGGCAAATGTTGAGCCACAGTTTTAAAGGTTTATGTTTAAGAGACTCAAGTAATTAAACAGAATTTCTTTAAGATTTTAATCATCATACCTATCCTTCATACCCAAAGTTATTGTAAAACCAAAGTGCTTTCAAGGTGAAGGCAAATGTTGGTTATGGATGGACAAGGCACACATGGCCTGCTTCTGCTGGGAAGCAGATAGTGGCCTGTCTGCCAATTTGCTGGAGCAAGATATGGGCAGTGCAAGAGGAAGCCTGTGGGAGAGTGTACCGGTGTACTGAGAAATGACAGTTCACAGATTCCATTCAATGGTATCTTAGTTCTCATTTTTTAAAGTAAAGATTATATTGTGGATGCATATGAAATCGAGGGGGCAAGACCTCTCTATAGTGAAAACAGACATGGAAACCAAAGTGCAAAACCTGGCAAGCAACAGGAGAAACAGCATTAGGGAGAGCTGTGGTTTGGGACAGGCCACACCAAAGGCCAATCTATTTCATAGATGTAGGGAGAATTCCAGGAGACAGTTTAACACCATAATATCCCCTGTACTTCTTTTGAAATTTCCTGTTATATTTTCCAGAATAAACTAACTCTGTTGTGAACCCACATTTCCCCCTTAAATATGTAATCACACATGAGACTGAAAAAGGGGAGGGGTCACATAGGCTTTGTCCATCTTAATTATAAGTACACATTCAATCCACTTTAATCCTCTACCCAATGCATTGGAGTAACTATAGAATTGCATTTCATTTTTAAAAATCTTCTATAAAAATGCTCAGGCAATTCTGGACTCTGGAAGGTGACTAGGCTTCCCTTCTACACTCTGGAGTAGAAGGACCACAACCAACAATGGGCAGACTCCTTTAAAAGTTTCCTGGGCCTTGTTCTTTCCTCTGTGCTCTGGGGTCCCTGCTCTGGGATGGCAGCAGAGCCAATCTCCTACAGATGTACTGGTCCACAAGTGCCATGATTATCTACTGCTCCATGTCCTGAGAGTCCAGTACCCCAGTAATGAGGGAAGTGAAAACACCATCACCATACCCCAATAGGAGCACCCAAGAATGTTAGAAATTTTTAGTTCTAATAACCAGAACACCAAGACTTCCTTTGCAGAAACTAGTCTACTATCTAGGCCAGCAGACATTGCAGAGGTCTCTGAATCCAATCCTGAGTATGATGGGGCAGAATTTTCCATCAGTTTTTCTTTGTCTCCTGTCTGTGGTGACTTTCATCTCTATTGGGTGCTCTAACTATGGGATGTGAGCTAGAAATGCTGAAATATGAAGGGGGAGGTTCCAGAAGACACAGGGTAAAGTTACAAGTATGCTCAAGAGCACTGACCACCATACTTGGAGGTTTTCTGCTTTTCTTTTTCTTGAGGGAAGGAAGTATACAGGGGACACTGGACAGACAACTACAACGACAGTGACTGACCATTCATTTCTGATTGTATTTATGTCCTGCTCTATGAGATGGAAATCATGTCTGACACTGTGGCTAGTGGGGTCCCAGGGCCCAGAGGAGAATCCACTGTTGTTCTTCTAAATGGATGTGGTATTAAACTGACCTAATGAGTTGTACTGACATTCATAAATTAGAACATCTCAGACCTTCATCAGAGAAGCTTCCTTTTGCATGAGATGGTGATTAACACAGGCCCACCACAGGTCAACATACAGAGAATAGATACTCCAGAAAATCCAGCCCTAAATGGGACATCTGTATATCACACCCCTCCTCCCAAGGATCAAGGATCAGGATGTAAGAGTCTAGAGGGATTGTAAGAGCCAGAGACTGTGGGCAACTACAACAAAACAGGGTTCTCCTGTCACTATTGGGCAGTGACACATGGGAACACAGTGCAGTGTGACAACATGGGAACACCTGTACAAGATCAAGACAGAGAAGATCCCTGCATGGAGGGGAGAGGTGGACAGGGCCTCCTACCCCTGCCTGAGGAGCTACTGGCAGTTGATGGCTGCTGGGAGAGGGAGCCAGTTTTCTTTAAGCATGTGGCCCCTGAGGGCCTACCCATGATTCAATAGATGGCCCTAAACAGAAGCACATATGGGCAGTGCTAAGTAGACCCAGGGTTTACAAAAAACATAACAAAGAATTATACAGGGAAGGGAGAATGGAGAAAGTGACAGGAAATGTAGCCATTAGTTTCCTGTTTTGACACAACACCATGATCAAGGAACTTGTAGAGGAGAAAGTTCATTTGACCCTAGGTTTCCACCATCATAAGAGGTCATCTTGGCAGGGAGGCATGGCAGCAGTCAAGGAAGTTGCAAACTAAGCTGAATGCTCACATCTTCATATGACAGTGAAAACCAGAGAAGGAATCAGAAGGAGGACAAGACTTTAAACATTCAAATCCCCTCCCCCTTCTGAGGACAGACTTCATCCATTAAGCCTGTACTTCCCCATGGTTCCAGAAACTTTCCAACAGCACCACCAATTGTTCAAGTCCCTGAGTCTTAGGGGACATTTCTCCTTCAAACTTCCACAGGGAAGGATTTGGGAGGGAGAAAATGGCATGGACTTTATCAAAACACTTTATGTGCATTTAAGAATCTCTCAAACAAAAATTACTTAATAGCATATTTATTGAAGAATTGCATTACTGGGTGGCCATACATATATGGCCATATAAATAAGAAATATAAAGACAAACTAGCACTTTCTCAATAACATGCATCTATCATTGTACCAGCAGAAAGAATATGAATATTAACATACTAAATAGTTTTATTTACTTGATAACTTTTTGAGAAAATGTGGGATCTGGTTCCATTAATTGGCTGATTCATTTACATTAAGTGTGTAATTCATGGATATGAAAAGCTAAGCTTAATCAATTACCAAGAGATGAGCAGAAGTATGCTAATTCAGGAGACTGATTAGTACTTAGGAGTCTGGAATCTTCCACTATTTCTAACACTTTTCAGAATACAAGTGAATCCTGAGATAGACTCCTAGTGCTGAACACTTACATTGATCACTGTTGTAGAATATTAAGATGTGTTACATTTGTTTATGCTGTGGAACATTTGTTTAATGATGCAAAGATGTGTTGCCTTCTTGTATGTTGCATTTGTTTAATTCTGTGAAACTGTGATACTTTGCCTGTCTAATATACCTGATTGGTCTAATTAAGAGCTGAACAGCAGGAGAAAAGATAGGTGGGGCTGGCAGGCAGAGAGAATAAATGGGAGGAGGAATGCTAGATGATGTAGGAGCAAGAAAAGGAAAAGAGGAGGATATTAGGGGCCAGCCACACAGCCACACAGCCAGATGCAGAGAAAGAGTGAAAGTAAGATACACAAAAGTAAGAAAAGGAAAATCCCAGATGCAATAGGTAGATTGGATAATTTAAGTTAAGAAAAGCTGGCTAGAAACAAGCCAAGACAATGCTGGGCATTTATGACTAATAATAAGATAAAGTTGATTTATTTGGGAGCTGGGTGGCAGGCCCCCAAAAGAGCAAATAGTAAAGAGTAAAAAACAACTACCTATAGATCATGACCCTTGCTTTCCCATTAGAGACTACTGAATAAACCAAATAACCTCTGCTGTGGTTAGAACAGCAGACAAGTCTCTAACATTGGCATGAAAGGAGGGCTGCCATCTGTCATTTTGTGGGGGAATCAGCCAATCATACCTGCTGTGGGATGTTCTATATTGCAAATGTGTTGCTCTGATTGGTCAATAAATAAAACAATGATTGGCCCATGGCTAGACAGGACGTATAGATGGGACTAACAGAGAGGAGAAAAGAAAGAACAGGAAGGCAGAAGGAGTCACTGCCAGCTGCCACCAGGACAAGCTGCATGTGAAGATGCCAGTAAGCCACGAGCCACTTGGCAAGGTATAGATTTATGGAAATGGATTAATTTAAGATACAAAAACAGTTAGCAAGAAGCCTGCCACAGACATACAGTTTGTAAGCAAAATAAGTCTCTGTGTTTACTTGGTTGGGTCTGAGTGGCTATGGAACTGATAAGTGAGAAAGATTTGTCCTGACTGTGGGCAAGGCAGGAAAACTCTAGCTACACATACCACTTTCTTGAAGTTCCATTTTATTATGGTTCTGTAACATAATCCCAAGAAATGTCTGTAGTGGGTAGCCATTCCAGCCTAGATCTGGAAGTTCCAACTCCATTGAGGCTTCAGTAACTGTCACGCCTACAAGGTGGGGCCAAGAGAAGACCCAGAGGACCCAAGATCCAGATGCACTGGCTCTCTTGGTTCCTGGACCCTGGATGCTGGAGGTAGACCAAACAGAGTTCTCCAGAGAACACGGCCAGACTGTGCTATGCCTTTCCCAGACTCTGTAAACTATCCATTCACTTCTAAGTTACCCCACCAAAAAAAACTCCCTTTTAACTATGTGGAGTGGCCTTAATAATTTTATCAATAAATGTCTGTTAAGAGCTCACTCGAAAGGACATGTGAACCATATCATAATACTGACATCAGAGCAGTATCCACAAAGCATAGGAGGAAAGGTGGCTCCTTCTCTCCTACAGAGCATAATAAGACAGCATAAAGCCTCATGTCCCAAATACTGATGTGTCAAGCATGTACATGTGCAAGAAGGAACACAAGGAAAATTTTCCTTTTAGACAAACACAATTAATACTCACCAGCATGAATACGTAGTAGATGGTCACAGATAGGGTTGGTACAGCCAATGCATTATCCCCTGCCCCTATAGACAGTGACAGAGAACTGGCAGAATAAGCCAACATCATGATGGTAAATAACATAGCGAAGAAACCCATCACATCTGTGTTTACTCCTTAGAAAGAAAACAAGTGGAGTCAGTTCATCTACTAAGTCAAGAGAACTGTACATATTTCAAATAATATTTTAATAACCAAAGCAACCAGTTACAGCTTTACAGCCACCCAATATCTCTGGTGCTCCATCTGCTACCTGATCATGTGGGTGCTGGGAACCAAGCTTGGGAGCTTTCAAGGAGCAGCGAGTGCCCTTAACCAATGATCCTCTCTCCAGCCCCATCATATGGCTTTATTTTTATACTTGTCTCAAAAATACCTTTCCATATAATACCTGTTCTTCTCTGTACATAATTATGACAATTTACAGAATCCTGACATGGAGAGCTTCAGGCAACACAACTGGCCAAAATTTTACTTTCACAGGATAATCAGCAATAGAACACATTCTTTTCCACATTCCCCCTTTGTTTATTTTAATTGCATTAGTAATGAAATTGGGATTAGGACTCTGCCAGTTAGTTTTTGTCAATTTAACACAAGTGAGAGTCATATGGGAAGAGGCAACCTGAGTTAATAAAATGCCTCCACTAGATTGACTTCTAGGCAAGTCTGTGAGACATTTTTTTGATGGATGAATGATTTGTGTAGGAGGTCTTAGACAACTGTGGATGATGCCATCCATAGGCAGGTCATCCTGGGTTTTATAAGAAAGCAGGCCAAGGAAGCCATTAAGAGCAAGCCAGTAAGCAGCACTCCTTCATGGCCTCTGCTTCACTTCCTGCCTCCAGGTTCCTGCCCTGACTTCCTGCCAGTGGCCATGTCAGAGGAGCAGCAGGTGGCAACTGAAGTTCAAGGTGTCAGTCTGCCAGGGTACCACTCCCCAATGTGTGAATCTCAGATAGGCAAGGCCCCTGAGACCATAGACCCCAGAACCGCTTTTGCTTCTGCTGTGCCTTTACATATTTGCTGCTGCCATCTGGCATGGCGTGAATGGGTGTGGGGGAGAGTCCTACTGACCATAATGTAGTGTGTTAATCTCATGGGAACACCTGTTAATTTGGGTATTTTCATCTGTGGGTTATTATGAAGATGAATCCTTCCCAAGCTGTACTGTATAATTGATAATAATGATGTTAGTTTATACAGAGTTTTGATGAATAAAAATAAATATAAGGAAAACAGCTAGGGCCTATGACTTTCACCTAAGGAACTGTTAAGTTCTAAGTGCAGGTTAATGATTATGGAAAACAACTGAGTCCCCAGGAGCCAGGCTGGCTCTAATCCTTTTAATGCTGAACAATGCAGTCACAGGTTTGGGTGTGCATCATTAGCTGATACAAAACCTTAAAACAACTTCAGGTTAGATCAGATGTTTTGATAATAACTTTGGAATGAAAAACCTTAGAAAACAATCTAAAGTTCACCAGGACACATTGCTGAGTTATAGATTCATTAGATTAGATTCAAAAATACAAAGCAGAGCAATTGTTGCAAGCTGACATATTTTCTTTGCTAGGTTGAGTTGGTGATCAAACGTGATAATTCCTTGTGCTCATTTTTGTCCTCAACCTCCTGATATAAGAAACTATTAATGAGTAAGTATGCACCCCAAAGATTTAAAGTAGTGCTGACTGATTCTTTTTCATATTTAAAAATTTAGGTTTATGATTCCTTTAAGATTCCTTATATGATTACCTTTCAAGATAAGTAATAAAGTAATTGGCTGTAGCAGGAATCTTAAAAGTTCTTATTGATAAAATCAAACCTGAGGCCAGTTATTGGGGTCAATGCTGGATGGTCAGAGAGACAGAACAAGCCACAGTATCTCACCTTGCCAATTCCTCAGCTGGTCTTGTTTCCTCAGACTGGAAACTTCTGTGTCCTCATCCCAATGGCTCTCAGCGGAACTGCTGCTCGAAAGCCTGAAGCTTAACCAGCCAAAATGCTTCTAGTTTCTCATCCTCATGCCTTATATATCTTTCTGCTTTCTACCACCACTCTCTGGGATTAAAGGCTCACTTTCTGGGATTAAAGGCGTGAGTCACCATGCCTGGCTGTTTCCAATGTGGCCTTGAACTCAAAGAGATCCAGAGGGACTTCTATCTCTGGATGCTAGGATTAAAGGTATGAGTGCCACCATTTTCTAGCCTTTGTATCTAGTGGCTGTCTGTTCTCTGACCTCAGATAAATTTATAAGGGTACACAATAATTTGGGGAACACAGTACCACCACAATTGGCCCTTTCTTTGTAACTGCAGAACTGTAGCTTGCCAGTAAAAGACTTGACTGAGAAAAATATTTTGCTTGCCTACATGGTAAATCTATAACAAGTTGCTTAAGTATGAATGCACATGGGTTCTTGGGATAATTTGATTTTCACCTGTAATAGGTAAAATGTTTAACCATGTAAGGGATATGGAAAACATGCTGGCTTTTTTTTTTACTGTTTGTTTTCTATTCATTGTAATCATTCACTTGAACAACAGAATGTAACCACATTGTAATTTTTATATTGCTTGAAAGAATTTGATGGAGTATATTAAGTGTAAGAAAAAGAATAAAGATTGAGTTAAATGTGCTAGAAGGAAAACATCAAGAATGAGAGAGTTAAAATTGGCTGGAAGAAAACATCAAGAATTAGAGACTTAGAAGGAAAACATCAAGAATGAGAGAAGGAATTCACCAGGAAAATGAAGAATAGAGAATGGGAAAGAATAATAAAGATAGGTCCTGAAGGAAGCCATCAAGAGAGGGTGTGGGTGCCTTTTTCCCTACCCCCTCAAGTAAAACTATCTAGGATGCCCTAACTCTGTGAATTTCCCTTTGAGCCCTGTGCTGCTGGAGGCTGGCACCACTGGCAGAGATATCTTCCCTTCTTGAAGTATATTGAACTGTAAGATGAAATAAACCCTTTTTTCCCCAAGTTGGTTCTGGTCATGGTTTTTATTACAGTGCTAGAAACCTAACTAAGGCAAGGATTAAACAACCTTGCAGTGGTTCTAATTTCTAGAGGACAGGAAGTTGCCTCCGACTTTAGTTTTCCTTAAGTGATTACCATGTAACTGCTATATAGGAAGGCAATGGTTTCCACATTCTGATTTGTAATCTTTATAGAGCTAATGTTGAGTCATATACAGTCCTGTGTCTTTATAATAGTCATGAGGACACAGAGTCTAGGGGACCTGAGTTCTGTGTCTAATTGTTTTTAAAGTTATTGTTATTGTTATTATTATCATGGTGTAGATAATGCATATTTGGATATGGGTATGCATGTACCATGATATACATATACCATGGTGTGTATGTGAACTTCAAAGACAACTTTCTGGGGTGACTCTCTGTTCAACTGTGGATTCTAAGGATCAAATTCAGATTGTCAGGCTTGCAGGACAAGTACATTTCCCATAACCATCCCATGACCTAAATAACTGGTTCTGAATGATAAATCTCTTATAAAACAAAGACCAATCTTTATTAGTGGTTATGTGTGTGTGTGTGTGTGTGTGTGTGTGAAGTATGGAAATTCTGAACAATTAGTCTAGAGTGAAGTTTAACCATAATGCACAAATGAATATGGACACATATTTCAAATAACTACTTAGGTTATGTAATTTCAAAAAACCTCAAATTCAGTGTCCTTTCTCTTTGTAAGATTAGGTAGCATAAGATACTGTATACATTTAAGTTCTTCTACACACATGTATGAGATATATCCACTTTTCTATTTTTTTTACATATAGACTTGCTTATACATAAACACAGAAAAAAATATATGGCTTGGTTAGTATATTTTTTATATACTCAATGATTAAAAGCATGTGCTATTATTACAGAAGCCCAGGATTTCATTCCCACAACCCACATGGTGGCTCACATTCTGTAACTCCAGTTCAAGGGGATCTGATGTCCTTTCTGGCCTCCCCAGACACTGCATCCACTTAGTGCCCACACAGAGACACAGACACAGACACACAGACACACACACACACACACACACACACACACACACACACACACACACACACGTAAACCCACAAATGAAAGTAAATAAATCTTTAACAACACCTATGGATAGATATCTAATAATTGATCTTGCTCCTTTGGCACTGTCTCAAATGTGCATGTTATATCTACATTCATTATAATACACAGAATCTCTAGTAAAAACAGTTTCATAAACAGCTGTTGTAGTATTTTGAGAACAAGCCTTGGAGACATTCCTCATACTGAATACTTGTTTTAGATGGTACACACTGGAGACAACTTTTCTACTCATGCTTTTCTACTTTAGACTTGCCACAGTTGTACAAACAAAAATAAAACAAGCTCCCCCAAGAGTAAAGACTCATTCTCTTGCTTTGTCACTTACCTGCTATGCTGAATACTATAACACTAAATATAATACTTGGTAATAACCTCCTGGGTACCAGCTCAGCCAGCAATTTCCCAAGGAAATACGGTGACACTCTGTAGTATCCACTGGTATACTCATGTCTACAGAGACAAAGATGACATTATACATCCTTAGATTAGTCCAGAAGACACAGGTGAGATGCTGGCTTCACTGACTTCTGCCACCACAGGGAGCCTATCAGGACAGTGTCCCCTGTGCTCCAGGCTGACTCCCATACACGACCCCATCTAAGGATCATCATCCTGATGACATTCTCACTAGGATTCTCCCAATCAGAAAGCTCTCCCCTGTTTTGTCCAGTCTGGCCACACTACAGGCCCTCCAGGAAAACAGTCCAATGTGTCCACTCTACTCAGAGTCTCTGCCCTATGAAGCTGGTTCCCTGAGGAGCAGCTCATTTCTACCTCACCTCAGACAGTGGTCATGGAGACTTCTCTCCTTCCAGTTCTCATGAAGAAGGTGACACTGTCACTCTGAGGTCACAGTGCAGCTTCAGGACACTACGTCCTTCTCTCCAGCTACACGCACTTTAGGACAGATATACTCCTTCAATAATCTCTCTTTAAAACCACAAATCTTTACCAGATATGAAACCTAATCCTTTCCCTTCCTGGCCCTTCCAAACCCAAGCTCTTCTCCTTCAGTGTCTTCACTGAGTCTCTCTCTCTCTCTCTCTCTCTCTCTCTCTCTCTCTCTCTCTCTCTCTCTCTCTCTTTTTTGATACAGCATCACCAGTGCAAGTAGACTTTCAATTCCATATGTAGCCAAGAATGACCATGCTCCTGCCTCCACCCTGGTCCCAAATGCAGGTATTACAAGAATAAAGCCATGCTCAGGGTTTTGTGGTACTGTGAATCTAACACAGGTTTTCAGGCACACAAAGCAAGCACTCTAATAACTGAATGAGGCCCTCAGCTCCTCTCTGATGACTTCTCTCCATGACTTTGAGAGCAGTGAGTTATAAACATAGGCAAATAGGGAAAAGGTTCTTCCCTGTTTAAAAAACACAGAATAAGCAGGTCTTTTAAACACAGCTATTATCTCCCTCTTTCCAGCCCCCCCATCAAGAGGAGACTCTCATTCTTGTGCAGTTGTACCTCTCCAACCCCAATGTGCTGCTGAACCCACCACACTTAAGCTCTGTGAAACCCTGACATCTTTCTTTAAGGGTTCATAATTTCCCATGATTTTCAGTCCCCTACTCCTGAGTGGTCTACAGCACTGAGATCTGGTGACCTCACCTCAAATTTGAAACTATTACTGAGCAGCAGAAACCTCCTTTCTTGATTTCTGGTCCATTTTTTCAGTTAATATTTGTAATCTCTTTACATACTTCAAAAATTATGATGCAACATGATAAACACAAAATTTAACTATTTGTTTATTTTAATTAAATACATAAGAAAGGGGGGGGGGAATTACTGGTAACTCATGAAATAATATTCTAGGTCCAACTATGAATGTAGTTCACTTGATCACTTGGTGCTGATGCCTGCTTCTGGATGAGGAATACTCACAGAAAGTGATCCCTGTCATTCATGAAGAGCTCCCCGGCTGTCAAGCTTGAGATACATTGGATGACAGTGAGCAAGAAGAGCAGGCCTGCTCTATCAGGAGAGAATGGAGGCAAAAGCAATAGTATATTCAACATTAGGATTGTTTCTTTTCCAAAACACCTTGTTTTATAGATTAAATAATACTATGCAGATATTTTCTTTTTCTTTTTTAAAAAAAAATCAGTATTGGAAAGATGGCTCAGCAGTAGTGTGATTGTTGCTCCTGCAAAGGACCAGGTTTGATTGGTAGAACCCACATGGTGGATGACAACCATGTATCACTGGAGTTCAAGGGGAGCCCATGCTATCTAGTTTTATGTCAACTTGACACAAGGTAGGGTTATCTGAAAGGAGGGAACCTAAATTCAGAAAATGCTTCTTTAAGTTTCAGTTGTAAGGCATTTCCTTATTTACTGATGGGTGGGCCCAGCCCATTGTGGGAATGCATCCTTGAGCTGGTGTTCTGAGTTCTAGAAGAAATCAGGCTAAGCAAACCATAGGAAACAAGCCTGTAAGCAGTACCCATCCATGGCCTCTGCAGATTCCTTCCTAGTTTGAGTTCCTGTCCTGACTTCCTTCAGTGATAGAATACAATGTGGAAATATAAGTTGAATAAATCCTTTCCTCCCCAACTTGCCTCTTGGTTATATGTTTAATAAGAGCAATAGTAACCCAAACCAAGAAAGGATCCAATGCCTCCTTCTGACAGCCACAGGTCTCAGGGAAAACACATGTTACACAGACATACATGTAAGCAAACACTCATTACCATGAAAATAAAGTAAGTCTTTAAAAGAAGAAAGAAGGAAGATGTAGAACTGTTCTAGTTAAAAAGGTCAGGAAGTATGAGTTATTTTCCTCTCTGTCTCCACAGCAGTATCTAATAATCAAAGTGTATCCCTAATATCCAACAATTTGATAATGACCCTTAATGTAATGTTCCTAGAATATGTAATTTAGAAGTTGCTGTGGGATGGTCCGTATGTCTAATGTGTTGCTCTGATTGGTCAATAAATAAAACAGTAGCCAGGCAGGAAGTATAGGCGGGACTAACAGAGAGGAGAATTGAGAGAACAGGAAGGCGGAGGGAGACACGGGCAGCTGTTGCCATGACAAGCAGCATGTGTAGACGCCAGTAAGCCACGAGCCACGTGGCAAGGTATAGATTCATATAAATGGATTAATTTGAGATATAAGAACTAGATAGCTAGAAGCCTAAGCCATTAAGCCAAATAGTTTAAATAATATAAGCATCTGTGTGTTTATTTTATAAGTGGGCTGTCGGACTGCCGGGGTTTGGTGGGACCCAAAGAGAAAACTCTCCAACTACAAGAAGTTAATTGGTTTTAGATGAAATGATGAGAGTGGAGCCCCATAATGTCATCTGTGTCCTCATCATGGGAAGAAACAGCAATGCAGTGTCTGTCAGGAGAGGGCTGAGAGAAGGTGGCCAGACAGGAAGAGCCTGGGAAAGAATCCTCACCTCAGACATTCACACTGCAATGTGGAGAAACATTTACTTTTAAATCCACTGAGTCTGTGGTATTTAGTCATGGCAGCCCAACCCATCACTCCAATTTAACTAACAAAGTTGGTAAGTATCATTACCAATGTATAAAGAGAAAAACATAAAGATTAATAAAACTCCAAGGAGTTTTCATATTCAGTTGACTGTGTTGATTTACAGAAGAAAAAGAATGAAAACATGAAACAGTAGAGGGAATCTCTACTCAACAGCTTACTACAGACATGGACTGTAGAAACATCTTTAAAAGCTTGATGATTTTCCATAAAATAGGCCAACAATTCCTGCATGGTTTCCAAAGACCTCAAAAGAATTCAGTCATGTCTATTTATGAAGAAATAATTTATGTTCTTGTGATAGGGGGTGATAAGCAGGAGGAGAGGGAATGAAGGGCCCTCTGTAGTTATCTGTTTCCTGGACACACATTTCAGGTCCCTCTAAGACAGGCAGCGTGACTGGGTATGGTGATATTTTATTTGTGCTAAAATGTGATATTTTATTTGTGCTTTAATAAACAAAGCTTGCCTGGAGATCAAAGGAAAATCCAAACCACTATAAGTAAACAAAGAAGTCAGGAAATAGTAGCACATGCCTTTAATCTTATCACTTGATAGGCTGGGATCTGTCTGGATCTCTGTATGTTCAAGGCCACACTGGAAACAGAGCCAGGTGTAGTGGCACACAACTTAAATTCCAACACTAGTTAACCATGGAGGCCTGGAGGTCTGTACAGACAGACAAGAAGTGACAGAGCTGGGCAGGAAGAGGAAGTGATGTAGCTTGACAGAGAGAGCAAATCAGATGGCAGAACAGCAAGGCATATAGGTATGAGTAGACAGGAAGTTGCTCACATTTGGAAGCTGCTGAATTGGTGAGGTAAGGTTAGCGGTGGCTGTTCCTATTCCTCTGACCTTGCTCAGGCTTTAACCCCAATTTCTGGCTCTATGTTTTTTATTTAATAAGACAGTTTAGAAATTCATCTACAACTGGGTCCTAATAGCCGGCTACATAAAACCTTCTCAACTGACAATCAGAGGTCAGTGACTCTCTTTATCTAGGTATAAAGTAGTGTTTAGATATCCAGATCAGATGAAGGAGGAACTTCTTGGAGACTAGTTTCCTCCTATATTAAAGAAAAATTACATTTTATAATCTACCAAAGGCCAGGTTAAAGAAAGGGATGGAAAAGAAAAGGACAACCTAAGAATGGGTAAGACTCTGAGAAGGGCAGGAAGAAAGACCTCCAAACTTCTGGACTTGGGAGACAGAGGCATGAGGACTGCTGCAGACTGAGGCCAGCCTGGGCTCCATGACAAGGTCTGGGCCTGTCAGGTCACAACTGTGGTTCTGGCTCAAAGGTCCAAACAAGAGCAGAGGTCCTGTCATGAGCTCCCAATGACCAAACATTGAGCAGATGACCTGAGCACCACATGACCAAATACAGAGTAGATGACCTGGGTTTCTCTTCCTCTCCTAATAAGCTGGTTTGCTTTCAAGTCTTTACTAAATGCACAACTTTTTCTGTCCACTCTTCCATTCCAAAACACACATATTCTCTGGTGCTCAGGTCATCCTCCCTCTCTCTGTCTCCGAAAAAAATCATCCTCAAGTTCCATCACTGTTTACTTTCATATGTTTTTATCAACAAAATCAATTACTTAGAAAGGGAACCTAATGGACCCAGCTACACTTAACTTTATATATCACATCTACTTTCTCATCTGATTTTTTACATATTATAATTGTAGGTTGACAACCTATAGCTACACATTTAAGGTATAAAACTAATATAATTCATGAACAATTTTGTAAAATGATTGTATCAAATTAAATTAGGTGATTTCCATCACTACAAATATACATAATTTTTATGGTAACAAATTAGAAATATATCCTCAGAAACTTTGAAAAATGTATTAATATTTGCTGGATTGAATGTGCTGTACAATTATTTCAAAGGAGAAAAATCTTAGTTCTCCTGTTTATCAGATTTTACACTCTTAGCCCATATGTGTCTCCTCACTCCTCACTGCCCTGGCAAAGTGTACACTATACTGACTGGAGGTCAATTGTCTTATTTTCCACATGTAAATGAAACATGATTGTCTTTCTGGGTTTTGATTATTTTTACTTTGCATACTATTCCTCAAATCTTCAATTCTATCCTTATTGTTACAAATTCCCATTTTTTAAAGATAAGCAGCATTTGAGTCACACTTTCTTTACTATTTATGTGTTGGTAGATACTTAAATTCCTTAACTTGGTTACTGTGCATAGCCCTCCAATGAACATCAGACTTCACATGTATTTTGGGTAAATGATTTTAAATAGGCTTGTAGGTATGCACAGGATAAATGTCCATGTCCAATTATTTCTTTCAATGCCTTCTCCTTAATGTTTGGCTGCCTCCTCGATCCTATAAAGCTGTTGAGCCAAAGAAACTCATATGCCACACAATTCAGATCCAGTTTCTAGTTATATAGTTGGGCAAAGTACAAATTCTTTGCTGGATCCAAATGTGAGGAGCATCTCTGGCCTCTTGAACATTACTGATGAAGACAATATTGATATTGACCCTGAAAATAACTTAATAGCTTTATTTCACAGATGATGTTGAGGAAGTGTTTCAAACTGTCCAACTTAGGTTTCTCTTGCTGTGATGAACACCCGGACCAAAAGCAACTTGAGGAGAATGGGATTTATTTGGCCTATATATCCCAGATCACAGTCCATCCCTGAGGGAAGTCAGAAAGGAATTCAAGGCAGGATATTAGAGACAGAGATGAAAGCTGGAGCCACAGAGAGGTGTTCCTTACTGGTTTGTTCCTCATGACTTGCTCAGTCTGCTTTCTTATACAACTCAGAACCATCCACCCAGAGGTGGTAAGGCTCCTAGTGAGCAGGCCACTCCCACATTCATTATTAATCAAGAAAATGTCCCACAGACTTGCCTACAAGCCAACCTTATAGATGAAATCCCTTAATTGTGGTTCCTTCTTCCCACATGATTCTGGCTGGTGCCAAATTGACAAAAAACTAACCAGCCCCCTAAGCAAAAGAATCAACTACTAATCAAGACAACTGAATTAAACGACATTAAACGACACACAAAGGCCATTGTCACACAGTACAACTTCTTATACAACTGGTAGTAGAGGAAGTTAAAATACAAATTAAGAGCATTCACAATTTCTAAAGAGAATATGAAGAAACAGCTAATAAAGATATTCTTTATTTCTGCATTTTCCAAGAATATTTGCACATCAGGTTTTTTGGAGTTTATGTCTTAATGATTCCCATGACAGTGCCCACACCATCTATATTGTTGTCTGTGCTATGCTGGGTGAAGATGTGCTGTCTACACAGGGCACAAACTAGCAGATTTGGAAAGCATCAAGACCTTGGCCTTCAGGAAGGTGAAAAGAGGACAGATGGAAACAGATGGACCAGTCACCTCACTGCAGACTAACTTCTGATCCACACATAAGGCAATTCATAGAATAACTTATCTTTATGTTTATTCTTTTCTTCACAATTAATAGGTGTTTACCACACATCAAAATAGATTT